GGTTTTTTTTTTTTTTTTTGGTTTTTAGAGACAGGGTTTCTCTGTGTAGCCCTGGCTGTCCTGGAACTCACTCTGTAGACCAAGCTAGTCTTGAACTCAGAAATCTGCCTGCCTCTGCCTCCCAAGTGCTGGGATTAAAGGCATGTGCCACCACTGCCCGGCTTTGATTTTTTTTTTTTTAATGAATGTATTTGATCAGTTTTTGGAGAGGTTTGGGATTTTAAGAGATCAAAAAATTTTAAGAGAAACTTTTAAAAATAAAATAAATTATTTTGCAGTCTAAGTCTCATAAAAGCCAGACCCAGAGTTGAGTCCAACTAATGATATTTTTCCTAAAGCTCTGTAAAATGATTATGAAAAATAGATCTATTAAACATATGTTAACTGTATGTTTTATAACTTTAAGCTTTTTGGGTGGTAAATATTAGTCCATTGTATTATTTAAACTACAACCTCTGGGCTGGTGAGACGGCTCTGCAGGTAAAGACACTGGACATAGAGCCTGATGGCTTGAATTTGATCCCTAGAACCCATGTGACAGAAGAAGAAAACTGACTCCTGCTAGTTGCTTTTTGACCTTCACATGTGTGCCACGGCACACACATTTCCTGTCACCTTCTCAATCAATAGATAAATGTTCCAAAAACAAGACAAACAAAAGACCACACCACCATCTCTGCCGGCTATCCGAACCAACACCTTTAAAAACTCCAGCCAAGCCAGGTGGTGGTGGTGCATGCCTTTAATCCCAGCACTTGGGAGGCAGATGCAGGCGGATTTTTGAGTGCGAGGCCAGCCTGGTCTACAGAGTGAGTTCCAGGACAGCCAGGGCTACACAGAGAAACCCTGTCTCGAAAAAAACAAAAAAACAAAAAACAAAACAAAAAAAAAACCAAAAAAACAAAACAAAACAAAACAAAAAACCACCCTCCAGCCAAAGCAAAGTTTAATGCTGGATAGATCCTTTGGCTGGCTGTGCAGTCTGTAGCAGGCCCACCATTCCTGCATTTATACATGCTTACCTTTCTGTCTCCTTTGCTTATCTACCAACAATAGACTATAAAGACTCCTAGCACACTGGTTAGCTCAGGTGAGATTATGCTGCAGTTACTCCCAAGAGTCAGAAATGCAACTGAAGACTGCTGTGTGTACTTTAAGCTCACATTGATTGCCAGCAGTTGCCTAGTACCTTGTGCCAAGTGTCTTCCCATGCCAGGGCACAGGTTCAAGGGCAGTGGCCGTCTGAAACACACCATTCTTACAGAGAGAAGGAAAAAAATTACTGGTTGAAATGGTAAGCTGGGCGCAGTGAAGACACCCCCACCAAGGCAGCTCCATGGTTGGGGGAAGGGTTAATTGTAGGTGACTGAGAGAATAGCCACAGCCATTTGGGGGAGTCTGCCAAAGCTACCTCTCAGGGACAGAGAGAAGACCAGAGAGAAAAGGAGGGAGGGAGAGGTAATTGCCAGGACTATGGGAGCAGAGAAGTTGGCAAAAATGGTGGGCGAGACCTGTTGCCATGGGAGGAGGCCAGGTTAGCTGGGACAGCCTGGAAGCTCGAATGAGGAGTGACCTTGCCACAGGCTTTGAGGGCCACAGTGGGAAAAGATAACAGGATTCTACAGGCTGCACCCTGGAATCTTCTACATGCAGCAAGGCAGAGCTTCCTCTAGAGCAGTGTAAGATGATAAAAACCATTCAAGATTAGATGAGATACCTAAGAGAGATAATGGAGAACATAGCTCTGACTTCTCTGCATGCAACCTCAACTTGCTGTGATAAACTTAGGCTCATAAGAAAACCCCACCACCTTTTATAAATGTTGGCATGTGCCAAGTATTTCGAGGAACTTCTTGCAAATCTGTTCCCACCTTCAGCCAAGGGAGGTGATGGAGCGTGAGAGAGTGCCCGTTGAGAACTGGTCTGTGGCTCCACCCAAATCAAAGGACTCTTTTTAGCATACAGGAAGCTACAAGGTATGGTGGCACAAGCCTGCAATCATAGCATTTGGGAGGCAGGGGAGGCAAGAGGATTATAAATCCTGGTTGGTTAGAGGGTACAATGGATATAAGAATCTAGAAACCACTAGCACAGGCTAGTGATACTACAGAATCTGTCCTTCTCCCTGGTTAAAGCTAGTCCTCTTCCTACTCCTCTCTGCAGTAATGGCCTACAAGAGAGGCCTCAAGAAAAAGGGCTTGATTCCTCCACTTCATGCTCACAGCATGGCCTTATCACAATGGCTGTTCTCTGGCCAGTCTGCATCTGGGAAGCAGATGCGAACACCATAAAGCCAATACCACTTATGGGAAAAGCCAAGGTTAAGGAATGAGAAAATGGCAGATGCCTCAGAGAATGACCAAAGCACCAGTTCCAGTGAGCCAGAAAATCTGCTCTGCCTGAGCTAGCCTTAGAACCTGTGCTATACAGCCTCCCGATGCTGTCACAAAATGCCTCAGAGAATCAGAGTTCAAGAAGGAAGGGTTTTTTTGGCTCATGGTTGAGTGACTAGACAGAAGCACATGATGGAGGAAAAGTGTAGGCATCAATTTTTTGCAACCTTCTTTTAGTAAAGGTTCAACCTCTCCTGTAGCCCACCACCCAGCAGAGGAAGTGAAAGAGAAAAGTTATTAGGACATGGGGGACACGGACCTGTTCAGCAATAGTTCTTTTGGGGGTGAGCTTGATCTTCGGCAGCAATTTAGTCCCTTAGCAAACACCACACACGATTCGGCAGCTGCAGACCAGTCCTCTAGGCAGGCAGACACCAGGCGTGAGCAGGCAGCACACAGTCCAGTCCTTTCAGCAAGCAGACACCAGGAAGCTGTAGTTCTATCCTGAAAAAAACACCATGCTTGCCAAGAGGCCTGAGCTGAGACCACTGAATCCGCAAGCTGCTGCAGGAACCTCACGAGCAGTTAGTTCTTGGGAGAATTTCTCACAATGGTGACGTTATCACAATTTGAGCTCAACAATGCTCTATACAAGGTGAACTAATACATGTGTGTCATTAGTGAAGAATAGTGAGATGAAGCAAAGCAAACCAACGCTCAGTGCTCGTCTTGGGGTCATATTTATACTCCTTCATCAAGCATCCTTTCACGTGTTTGCTATATCAAGACATCCTTTTACCTGTGTGTGCTTCAGGAAAACTGTCTTTTACCTATGTGCCCCAGAAAAACAGCATTTGACATAGCTAACTTTACAAAGAAACTAAAAGTTTTCACTTCAAAAAAGTGTTCTCCCTCATGTTGGCCAGGAAGCAGAGAGAGGAGGAGGAGGAACTGGCCGCAGTCTCAGTATCGCCTTCAGAGGCCTAACTTCAAATGGTTTAACTTCTTCCCAGATGCCCCACCTCTCAAATGCCCCTGCTTCCCAGTGCCGTAGGCTGGAGATGAGACCTTTAGCATATGGGCCTTAGCAGACATTTACAATCCAACCCAGACTAGAACCCAAGGGCCCTGAGCCCCATCTCCGTTTTACACAGTAGGTATGGCAGATTACTACACTACATCTAGTCACTCATCCCCATACTAGAGAACAGTACATTTCTGCATGGCTCACAATTCATTTGGTGACAGGAATACACTTCTCTGCCCTCCTGATACTGGGATTGGTTTTGGCTAGTGTGTATGTATACTGCTGTATTTCTGCCAAGTCCCAACCTTCAAAATTGCCATCTGGGCTCAGCTCAGGCTGGACCCTGACCCTGTAAACACACAGCATTCCTCGGAAACCCTGTAAAATGGGTTTCCGTTTGCCAGGGAAAGCCATTTTATCCAGCTCACTGCCGTCCAACCTCCAGAAAGAGCTTTCTCTGTGAACTCAAACAAGCCCCAATGGGTCAGAGCCCCATGCTAGTTCCCAGGCTGTCCCAGCTAACCTGCCCTCCTCCCATGGCAACATAACCCGGTACAACTGGCAGGTCTCGCCCACCACTTTTGACAACTTCTCTGCTCCCACAGCCCTGGCGATTGCCAGTCTGCTTTTCTCCCAGAATTTTCTCTCAGCATCTCTCTGTTTTGGAGAAGTAGCTTTGGCAGAGTCCCCCGGATGGCTGTTGACTACTCTCGGTCTCTCATCCAAAATAAAATTCGTACCCTTACCACAGAGTGGCCTTGACAATGGCTTCTTTACTGTGTTCCTTGTTTAAATTCATGGCTGCTACTTTACTCATTTTTTTCTTCTAATAAACAGAACAAGTATATCTTTAAAAATTTAAGTTATATTTCTGCATTTATTATTGTCTTAGTTGGAGTTTCCATTGCTGTGAAGAAACACCATGACCAAGGCAACTCATAAAGGACAACATTTAATTGGGGCTGGCTTACATGTTCAGAGATTCAGTCCATTAACATCAAGGTGGGAGCATGGCTGCATCCAGATAGATGTGGG